TGTAAAAGACCTCTTTGGAGACATGACTTTACAGTGGGGACTAGAATGATGATGCTATCACCTAAGATTTGGGGGAAGAGCATCCCTACCAGGGAGAACAGCAACTGCTTAGGAAGAGAGCTGGGAATTTAAGGGAGAGGTTAGTTGATGCAAGAGGCTGGCAAGGGTCGGCTCACAAACAGCCAGAGTCAGGGGTTTGTATTTTATGCAGTGAAATGGGAAACCATCAGGTTTATCTATTAGAGCAACAGGTGATTGTTTTTAAATAGATTAGCTATTGTCTGAAGAATTGTAGATAGAAATGCTACTACACATATTATTGAGGTGATAGCTGATCCAGGGAGAAGGAATTTGATGACATATAAAAGCAGGCGGGGTAGGAATTTCTTCTGTACTTAGAACTAGGTTAGAATTATACTGAGCAGAGGTGACAAAAGCAGAAAGGTCAAGAGGACACCTGGAATCAAAGTGCCCAATACTGCCATGCTTTATGAAACTCAGACTGTTGAGAAATCAGATCTAATCTGAAGTAGCATTCTGAAACAGCGGTGTTTAGAATTGTGTCTATAGGAAACAATTTAAATCTTAAGTTCTTGGATGTTTTCTTTTTATATATGTATCTTTTTATTGATTTTAGAGAGAGAGGAAGGGAGAGGGAGAGAAACATCCATGATGACAGAGAATCATTGATCAACTGCCTCCTGCATGCCCCCTAATGGGGTTCACTAGTCAACGCTTAACCACTGAACACACTGGCCAGGCAATACTTGGATGTTTTCTAATAGGAATTGTTTGGATTGCAAAGGTAAAAATAGAACTGCCTTATATTTGTCTAATACACATACCATACAAAATACTGCGAGGTAAGGACCAATTTGCAGACAAGACGTTAAATGACTTGCCAAGTTACCTTAGTAGAGGAATGACTTGAGTTGACATGAAAGTCCATGTTTTTTCATCCCAGAAACAGACCAAGTTCAAATGGTTACAAATATTGCCAAGCTGTGACTTCCAGCCACACAAATAGCTACTCTATGAAATACAAGGGGATCAAGGTCCACACAATGAATGCTCTGCCCCTTCCAATTTTCCCAGTGGGTTAAGTGATGGTTTTCCTTATCAAACCCCATGTACCTTCTGTCTCTAGAGCTAAACTAAGCTGTCAATATGCCTGTGCTTTTAACATGATTCCTAACAATCTGGATTTAAAAAAAAACAAAAAACACCCTCAATCTTCATAATTATTTTTTTACAGCCCAAAGTGAATTAAGAAATAGCTCTTAGGACAACAAATACTTATTAGTAAAAAAATTAGCTTGTTTTTGGAAAATTTCCTGAAAGCTAACTTTAAATTTTTAAATGAGACTTGATGCAGGTTGTGGGCATTAATAATGGGGTTAATTTCTGATCGTAACAGTGACATTACTTGCACTATAAAGCAAAACTTAGAACTTCAATAAAGAGGTACTCATTTTTATGATCATTTTGTTTTAAAATGGAAAACCGATTAGGAATTTCACTGGTCTTCCTGAAGGATTAAGATACTATTGTAGCACTAACTGGTATGTTCAGTGGTTAGAACATAGGCCTGCGGACTGAAGGGCCATGGGTTCCATTCCAGTCAAGGGCATGTACCTCAGCTGCAGGCTCAATCCTTAGCCCTGGTCGGAGCATGAGCAGGAGGCAACCCATCTATGTGTCTCTCACATCCATGTTTCTCTCTCTCCCACTCCCACTTTCTCTAAAAATCAATGGGAAAAATATCCTTGGGTGAAGATTAACAAACAAAAAAGGTACTAATTGCAAAGGACAAAAGTAACATTTTATAACATTAAAGGAATTGTATTAAGAATTAGAATCATGCCCTGGCCAGGTAGCTCAGTTGGTTAGTGTCACCCCAATATGCCAAAGTTGTGGGTTTGATTCCTCAGTCAGGGCACATACAAGAAGCAACCAATGAATGCATAAATAGGTAGAACAACAAACTGATGTTTATCTCTCCCCTCTCTAATATCAATAATTAAAAAAAAAGGAAAGAAAAAGATCGAAGTCATTAAAACAAATACTAAACAACAGCTTATATGCATTTAGGTTTACAGCCATAGTAGGAAACAAAGGTATAAGAACATATAGATACAATTGGGGAACATATATACAAGGCTGTCAAGGTGGACCAATAAAAAGTTTTCAAACCTAAATTTGATGCAGACTTACAATATATAAGTTTAAAATACAGGGGACAAAAAATATATGTTCAGTGACACCATAGGGTTACAATGAGCAAACTCAGAATATGGAAAATTCCTCAAGACAAATGATCCAATTCTTTAAATTACACGGTAAAAAAAAAAAGGAGAATCTTGTGACTAAAAGCAAAGCCACATATATAGATGTTATTTGAACAAACCAATTATAAAAACAAATCATTAAGAGATAAGGAGCCCGGCTGGCATGGCTCAGTGGTTGAGCATCAACCTATGAGCCAGGAAGTTGCAGTTTGAATCCAGGTCAGAGCATATGCCCAGGTTGTGGGCTCCATCCCCAGTGTGGCGGCGTGCAGAAGACAGCTGATCAATGATTCTCTAGTCATTTGTTTCTCTCTCTCCCTTCCCCTCTGAAATCAATAAAAATGTATTTTTTTAAAAAGGAAAACCTAACTGAATAGTAAGACATTACTATTAACTTTTTAAATAATAATAAAAGTACTATCGTTAAGTTTAAAGTTCTTACCTTCCTCTTGAATTGGAATATTTGGGGATGAAGTCATTTATCTGAGATTCTCTGCCAAACAAGGGCAGGAGGTAGAGCAGTGAATTGGTGAGGTATAATCAAGGCTGGCTGACCACGATTTGATCTGTGTTTTTGGAGCTGAGAAATGGGTACTCTACTACTTCTATTTGGTATTTCCCAGCATAAAAGTTTAAACTTATTTTTCCAAAAAATATATATTTTAATTCAGGTAGAGAGGTGTAAATTTGTAAACCTCTTTACAAGAACTTAGAAAACTAATAGCACAAGACAAAAATTAGGGCACAGGGGAAGATATCCTTGGCACAGCTACTGACATATAAACCTTCACCCCCATGCAGGTGTACCCTCCACATCTTCTATCTTCTAATAGTGAATTTCACACATCCATAGTTACTTCAAAACAAGAAGGTAAGTAAAAACTTAAGACACAATTGAGAATTCAAGATTAATCTCTTGCCCTAACCAGTTTGACTCAGTGGATAGAGTGTCGGCCTTCGGACTGAAGGGTCCTGGGTTTGATTCCGGCCAAGGGTACATGCCCGGGTTGTGGGCTTGATCCCCAGTGGGGGGTGTGCAGGAGGCAGCCAATCGATGATTCTCCCTCATCATTGATGTTTCTCTCTTTCCCCCTCTCCCTTCCTCTCTGAAATCAATAAATATATATATATATATATATTTAAAAGAAAAAGATTAATCTCTTAAACAGGACCTTTGTTGACATTTGCCTTTGCCTTTCTTCAATGCCTGTCATGTAAAGGAAACAAACTGCTCACTACTTAGAGCAGGGGTGGGCAAACTTTTTGACTCGAGGGCCACAATGGGTTCTTAAACTGGACCGGAGGGCCGGAACAAAAGCATGGATGGAGTGTTTGTGTGAACTAATATAAATTCAAAGTAAACATCATTACATAAAAGTGTACGGTCTATTTCTTTTTAGTTTTATTCATTTCAAACGGGCCAGATCCGGCCTGCGGGCCGTAGTTTGCCCACGGCTGACATAGAGGCAGTTTAAGCTCTACAGAAATATTATTAGAACATGTAAAACACTCTTTATTTTACCCTCTCAAAAATTATTCATGCTAGGCTGTATTAGTTTTTAGTTAGAAACAGAACGTATTTAAGTGGCATACCCAACATTTTTATATCCAAAAGAATCTTGTTTCTGTCCATGTAGCTGCTTTGTGAGGCTTTCTACTTTTTCCAGCCCTACTGCCAGCCACTGGTGAAAATTTGGAAACCTTTGGAATCCTCAACTGTAACTATTTATTTAAAAAGAAAAAAAAAATCCTTAATGGCATTAAGTCTTCATCTCTTTGTGGGTGTATGTGATTTTCTGAAACTGCAACAAATCATTTTGTTGTCAAAATGATTAGTAACCAAGGTGGGTGAAAAAACGTTAATGGAAAACCTAATCCTATATAATAGAAGGGTATTATGCAAATCGACTGAACTGCAGAACTGTCGCTATGACACGCACTGACCACCAGGGGTCAGACGCTTAACACCAGAGCTGCCCCCTGGGGGTCAGTGCACTCCCACATGGGGAGCACTACTCAGCCAGAATCTGGCTCAAGGCTGGTGCTCAGCGGCTGGCAGGAGTCTCTCCCGCCTCCACAGCAGCACTAAGGATGTGCGCCTAGAGCTCCCAGACTGAGAGAGGGCACAGATCAGGCTGGGGTACACCCGCCCACACCCAGTGCACAAATCTCATGCACTGGGCCTCTAGTGTAACTATAAAATAGTGCAATATTTTATTATAGCCTTTTAAAATTTCTAAATTCACTTCCAAAATATTGGGAAAAATAACTCTCAATATAAGTAATTTGAAAAATATTCATTTGGATACACAATAATGGCATTTTCAAAACTTCATTTTTGTCCAGATTTTACTTTATCAGCCAACCAGGTTCTGAGGGCCTCACCTCATTACTGAATTATCCTAGCCTAGATAAAAATCACTAAATATATAAATAAATAAACTTTAAAGCTCAATAGTTGGGTCTGACTCACTGTCATGTTAAAAGTTTGGGTTTGTTCATCAGGACAGTTCACTTTAGAAATAGTACTTAAAACTGACTTATCATTTAATGTTACACTCCCATTTTCTTTTTCCATATATACAGGGAAGACTTAAGAATTGTATAATTTCAAACTAGCTAAGAATAGTTTTGCTAGAAAATCAGTATAGTCATTTTACTATTAAAATTCTGCTCATTTAAATAATTTATTTAATAAAATATTTGAAGCAGTTTAGAAAAACAAGATTTGTATTTTATTTCCTTGTAAAAATCTTTACACATGCAGACAAACCAGTGTTAAGAAAGTATTCACCATCATTTAAACAAATAACCACTTAAATAGAACAGTGTCTGCAATTTTATCTGTATAAAAATAAGATACATTTTTACAGAATTCACACTCCAGTTCTTATAGCAATAAACAATACACAACTATAAGTACAATTGAACCCGACCATGGTTTTCAATTAGATACTGCTAGGGCATTTTAATGTGCAAAAAAAAAAAAAAAAAAAAAATTAATAGTTCTTTTCAAGAGAAATTGTCCTCAGTGTTTCTAGAGACCTAGAGGGTTTTAAGAAATCAAATCCTAATCAGTTTGCTTTTAATGTTTTGATTATGAGTCCATACATCACACTGTAGACAGGCAAAACCAGGAATTGATGCAGGCTCAACCGAGAAAGTCAGCGCCTGTGCCTGCCATGTCCTGAGCGGCTGCCACCATGATGCTTGCCTTTATGGGACCTCTCAAAGGAGCGAGATCTTTCACGCCTGTCCCTGTGATGTCCCCTTTCATGCCTGTGTTTCTTGGCCGCATCTGAGTGATCCCGAGACTTGCTCTGAGATCGAGAACGAGACTTTTTCCTTTTATGACCATGTCTATTTGAACTTTTTAAATCATCTCTGGTATGCTTGGCCTTAAGGTGAGGAGAACCATGATTGTGATGTCTTCTTGGGCTTTCACTGTGACTGCGGGACCTGCTTCTTGATCTCGAGCTGTATGTTCCAGATCGACTCCGCCTATTATTATAACTTAGACAATAAAAATTTGAGATTTAGATTCAATTTCTGCTGGAAACAGATTATTTTGGTGGTGCTCAAAACAAGTTCAAAACAAAACTATCAGGCCTGTATTGACAACAGGCTAGACTGAAGGCTTTTATTAAATTTCTCCCCCTCACTACCTTCCCTTAAGCCTATATTAGACAAATCTTAAACAAATGTAAATAATGTCTATATGCCAAGGAGAGTAATTAGCAAGTTTTACAGGATATTCTAGACAGCTATGCTTTTTATTAAGTATTTCCCATATGTTAAAAAGAGCCACAATCCTATCTAATAAAAGACAAAAAGGGTAATTAACCGTACCTCCGCTACACTGCCCACTGGCTAATCAGCAAGATATGCAAATTAACTGCCAACAAAGATGGCAGCCGGCAGCCACGCAGCTGAAGTGAGCAGGCGGCTGGCTTGCTCCAGTGATGGAGGAAGCCAAGGTTCCCTGCCTGCAGTGGCCTGGCTCTAAGCTCCGGAAGCAACAGCTCCAAACCCAACAAAGTTTCAATTATAGAAGCTAAACAAATCCCAGATATCTGCTTTCAGCCAGCCTCACTGCCTCAGAGCTGGGAGTGCCAGTGAAGGCAACAAAGTTTCAATTATAGAAAGTAAATAAATCCCACAATTAAAAAAAAAAGAAAAAGGAGAGTCTGGGAGCTTCAGTCGCCCCCCAGCCTGAAAACAGCCCTCACCCAGACTGGCCAGGCACCCCAGTGGGGACCCCCACCCTGAAGGGAGTGTGACCAGCTGCAAACAGCCATCAGCCCCTCACCCAGGCTGGCCAGGCACCCAAGCGGAACCCCCACCCTGATCCAGGACACCCTTCAGGGCAAACCAGCCGGCCCCCACCCGTGCACCAGGCCTCTATCCTATATAGTAAAAGGGTAATATGCAAACTGACCCTAACAGCAGAAAGACTGGGAATGACTGGTCACTATGACACACACTGACCACCAGGGGGCAGATGCTCAATGCAGGAGCTGCCCCCTGGTGGTCAGTGCGCTCCCACAGGGGGAGCTCTGCTCAGCCACAAGCCAGGCTGATGGCTGCCAGTACAGTGGTGGTGGTGGGAGCCTCTCCTGCCTCCTCAGCAGTGCTAAGGATGTCCGACTGCAGCTTAGGCCTGCTCCCCGCTGGCAAGTGGACATGCCCCGAGGGCTGCCAGAGAGATGTCTGACTGCCAGCTTAGGCCCAATCCCCCCTGGGGAGCAGGCCTAAGCCAGCAGGTGGTCATCCCCCGAGGGGTCCCAGACTGCGAGAGGGCACAGGCTGGGCTGAGGGACAACACCCCCCCAGCCCCCCCCCCCCCACGCAGTGCACAAATTTTTGTGCACCGGGCCTCTAGTCTAATTATAAAGCTAATTAGAAAATTCTTTGGCTATGGTTGATTTATTAACCAATAAGTGATTAATGAAATAGTCAATTTTCTAACTGAAATCAGACAGAAAGACAATTTTTTCACACCTAATTTGTTCAATTTTTTTTTTAAAGAGTAACTTTTTAAACACTCCAAATAAAATTGTTTTTTCTAAGAGAATATTTACTTACTGTCTTCTTGGAGTATGTGATCTAGAATGTGATCGTGTTCTTGACCTTGATCGACTTGCACTTCTGCTATTTCTACTTCTCTTGCTGTCTTTTCTTACACTTCAAAAAACAAAACAAAACAAAACAAACAAACAAACAAAACAGTGTATTAGTTAAGTATTTAGTGTGTTAGAAATTAATCACATATAAGATTCCTGGGGCCAGTTCTAACTCAAGTATACTCACCCATTATAAGGGCTTTTGGAAGCCTGCTGTCTGTCTTCAGGTTCTTTTTTGACCATCTTCACATTAACGGAGATAGGTGACTTCTCTTCAGCCTTTACTTCTCTTGGTGATGCTTAAATAAACAAACATAATAAAGACATGTTAACCACTGGATTTAACAGAGGGTCAAAAGTTGTTCGTACATATAATTCAAGTATCACGCTTTCAAGTATGTCTTCAGTTGACTGTCAAGAGAAAATAGTAATGGCTTCTTAACATCATTTCCTTAAATGATAAATGCTAAAGCATTCTAATTATCACACACCTTCAGTGCCCACCTCATTTCAATTCTGAGTAAATCTTACATGGTTTAGAGGCTGGAGAAAATCCACCAAGGGTTGAAAGGGCTGGAGTTCCATCAGGATTCAATCCCTTTGCTTTTAATTTGGCTTCTTGTAAGGCCACTTTTCTTTTCTCTACTTCTTTTTCCAGCAATTCATAGTTTGGCTATTGGAGGAAAATGAAGTTAGTATCTCTCCTTCACAGTTTAGTGTTAGCATTGAGAAAGTATTAGCACAAACACGAGTAAACAGAATTACCTTTTTCCTGGTATAAAGCCTAAGAGTTTCTACACAGATATCCTGGATCTCCTCTTCAGTAGTACCAAAAAGAAGAAACCAATGGGGACGAGTGGGCAATGGAATCTAAACAGTGACAAGAGAGTGGTTTAGATCAAATGTTTACTGTTTTTTATTAGGAGGACTAATTTATCCCACAGAACAAAACAGGCTATCTAAACCTACCTGAAGAGCTCTAGCTGCAAGGTAGATGCAAGCACATGCTATAGTCTCTGGTTGAAATCGAACAAATACATTGGTTCGAAGACTGTCATTCATATAATTCCTGAAAAATATTTTAATCATAAGCTCTGTACATAAACCAGTTCTAAAGCTTACATAAAATTGGAGACTCAATCTACTTTATTCTTTTTTCTTCTCATATTTATATCTATATCTTCATATTCTAGCAAATAACAATTCTTAACTCAAAAATCAGAGAGATAAGAATTTAACACTAGAACAATTCTTCAGCTTTCCTGACTAAATTCCTTAAAATAATTCTATTATTCCAAATAGAACATATATGTAAAATTTTAAAACTATATTTTTATGAAAATCAATGCTTTAAAAGTCAATTCTGAATAACTAGTTTCAGAAATGATAAACCACTCCAACAATACTTCAAGCCATTAATTATTGACCATCTCTCCTTTATCCACAATGAAAAGCAGTGTCAACCAAGTTCTTTCAAAAAATTCAAAGTACTGTAACAGGGGTAAAAAGGTAAGCACTCACCAAGTTATATTAAGAAAACTAAGTACTTCAGAAAATCTAGACAGGGAAGTGAAGAGCAATAAATATATAAAACAGCCTTGTTTATATACCTTTTTTGTGACTAAGTACAAAGAAAAGCAATTAACTACTTCAGCTAATAAACTGCTTGATTTCTTAAGTAGTGAACCCTCCCCACAACATCCCTGAAGTATTGAAAAAATTTTACAAATTGTTTAAAAGGTTAAACTACAAGGTTGTTTCTTAAAAATCCTTACTGTAACTGCTAAAATCTGTTTTACAGAACATATATTAAAAATGTCATGCATTTTATAAAAGCAGTGAAACTTTTCTATTACTAATATTTACTGAATCCAAAACAAGCATGGCAGTCATAAGTCCAGAACATAAAATTAAGTCCTGTACACCTATTGTGTTGAGATAGTAGTTATGTCTGGACCACAAATCCTTGTTTTACTTTACCTTTAAATAAGCTAGCATTCCAAATCACATATCTGCATCTCAAAAGTCCAAGTTATAAAGTGCTTTGAAAAATCAAGTACTTCTTAATTCTGTTATTGTCTGCAATAGCCCAGCAACTAGAAATTCATCCAGAATGGAAATGGTGCCCACTTTAAGCTATAAGTTGTAGCTTCCTTTGGTAGAATTCATGCTATACATACTGAAAATTGAAATCTAGTCAAACTCCTAACAAAAAAATCACTTAATTCATAATGGTCGGATAACAATCAAAAATGAACTATTCATTTTGATAGTTACAGGTATACATTCAATACATAGGCATGTTGAATAGTTACTTCTAGAAGCAAATATACAAATCCTTTTGACACCCCGACAGAACTAGAAGATGCTGCCAGATGGATATGGACCACTTCAGTGAATCTCGGATGAGAGCTTGCACTGGATTGGCTGGAGAGCAGGGCAGCCAATCAGGCCATCCTGAGGTCATGGGCTGAAGTGCAGAGGGCAGAGTTCTATGACTTACCATCATGGACTACCCTTTAATTAAAGAGTAGAAAAAAGAACAAAGTTAAATTGAGTTCTCCATTAAAAATAACTAGTCAAGCCAAGAAAACAGGAAGCAGAAATAAGCATTATTTACCTTTTGATTAAAAAACAAAAAAACAAAAAGCACCAAAAGAAACTCATCTCATTATTTTGGAAAGGGAAAACGAAACTTACTTTATTTCTGCTTCTGTTTTCCTGACTAGGAAAAAAAATGTAAAAAAAACCAAAACAACTTACCAGGCAGTTTGAACCAGGGTTTGATTACGTTCACATTCTAAGACTTGTAAATACATAAAAATGATCTGAAGGACAAGGGGAAAAAAACTCAGTTTAGCACAACATTGGTTCTTTCAGAGTACAGAGTTCAATGCATATAAGTAACTGAAAATGTTAGATTCAAGTTTTAATTCTTCTATAAACTACATAAATAATACAGACCAATCTAAAATGTATCTAAATCAATGTGGGTTATTATGCTACTAGATTCCACAAAAATTGTTTAAAAAGGTTTCAAGATTGTACAGGGAAAAAAATTGGGAGTTATTTCAATAAAAAACAATTTTTCATGAATACTAAGTGGCAGGCACTGTGTCCTACAAACAAAATTATAGCATTTAATTTCCCAAGGTACAACTCTGCGTGTCCCAAACCCTAAACACTATGTTTTAAAAGTTATACAATGGGCATGATACATTGTAAAACTCCAAGTGGGTATTATAGTAAGTATCAAACACTGAATGTTTCTATAGTGAAGTTTATCACACTATATGTAAGTAGCTTTGCCTCAGTTCAGATGAGGTATTTTGGGACCTGTATTACAACTTTAGAGTTGTGAAATCTAAGAACAGAGATATCTGCCAAGGTCACTCAGCTAATGGCAGAGACAAGTTTCTATTGCAGATAGTTCTGCTTTCAGGGCACCCATTCTTGTAACTATTTTGCTGTTACTTCTATCAGCCACATGCAAGCCAAGACTTGCTAGAGAAACCTTTGAACATTCAGAAACAGTAACAGTAAGCAGCCAACACAGCTTGAACATTTTACTATGCAACAGGTAGCATGCCAGACTTTTTTGTGCATATACACACACCCACATATATATATAGAATTTATTCCTTGGAATGAGTTATTTCATAAACTCTGTTTCTAGATTGGGAAAACTGGGTTAACCATAGAGGCAAAAAGAACTTATCAATGTCTACACAACAGTAAAGTTTTGAACCTGTCTTTTTGACTCCCGTTTTTCTGATAAATTTCAAATCTAAAAGGTCACATTTAAAAACCAAGGTGAACTCTCAAATACAAACATATATTCATGTAAAATAAAAGTTTAAGAAAACCCTAATACTTACGAATACAATTCCTGTACTCTATAACTCACCTTATGGGGATGCTTGACATGAACACAAAATCCCAACTCCTTTAGCACCCTCCTCTCTGCTTTGATAACTTGATTTTTGGTGTTAATGTAGTTCTGATCAAGGATGAGGGGGCTTGGAGTCCTATAGTTTGTAAGAAATAAAATCAAAACTGTTTTGCACATCCAAAAATTTTTATTTGTGGCATCTCCGTTTTCCCTTCCAACCAACTATTGGCAACAGAAACCAGCTTTTTAAACTCCTGCAAACAAGTTAAGGCATTAATCTTGTGCTGTCCAAGTTATGCTAATTAAATATATACTTTCTAGACTAAATTCCTATAGAAACTAACTCAATCCTGCAATGGAAATAATTCGCTCTACTTCTCTTGTATTTATCCTTGGTTATTTCATATGGATACTTTGGGAATATATGTTGCTTAACGTCAGTGACAGCTATCACAAATCTCATTAGTCTCCAGACTCTCTGCACTGACAAAATGAAAGTGCTCCTGAAAATATTTACTATAAGACCTTGTAAGATTATAGTGATTTTACTCATTTTATAAAATATCAACTCTTGGTTACTTTATGGCCAAAATTAAAATTAAGGGAAAAAATATTGGGTAGCTAATCCACATTTCCCCCGCAAATGGGCAATTTGTTTAAGCAAATTGTTCTAAGATTCTATTTCTGTTAAAGAAAATAATCTGGAAACTAAAGATTTAGTTCAATTACCAAAATAGTTTATAAAATTAAATCAGATTAAAAATTCAAAGTGATCAATAAAAACCATGCCTAAATTTGGTTGAGTTGTAGTTATTAGGCAGTATATTTAGCAATGCAAGAGAAGGGAGGACCATAATGAGGAAACCAGGACAACACTCAAGGTCTCTGTGCCAGATTCAAGTTTGATAGCTTCCAAAGTTATGATGCAGAAGGCTATCTATCAGTCGGGGGCTCAATGCTTTAGAAACAGCACATTCAATTAAAAGACTATCTTATTTAAGTCTTAAAATGAAAAACCGGTTTCTTACTTTTATTTAAAGCTTATGTTCAAAATTAGCTTCTTACTAAGAATTTTTTTTGTCAAGACTTGGACTTTTCATTTAAAAGCCCATAAAATGTCCTAGTGTCCTTTGTTTGATACATTTTTAGATTGAACCAACAAAAATATTTTTTTGTTAAGATATTATTAAAAATATTGATTACATGATATATACATATATATGTAGGATATTTAAATATTTTCCCCATACTCAATTATCAGCCAAAAGATTCAAGAGTTTCTGCCCTGGGCAGAACACAACATCTATTTTAAAAAGATAATAATTCTGAACATTACCCCAACTCACAACTCCTTTTACCATGCACAGCAAATCCAGAAAAATGTAAGCTAACACTTTAAAATCAAAAACCAATTTAAATACATCCACTTGAAAATTAGATAACAATGTGAAAAAAGCCACATTAACTACCCCTGTGGTGACATGTTATCAGAGTAGAAATCACTTATTTTCTCACATTTAAAATGATGAAAACTAGAATGCTTGCTAGGGTATTTCAATTTTTTTAAATCAAATTGTATTAAACAAGACAAAAGCTGGCAAGCTGACAAAATGGAAAACAGCTGTTAAGATTAACAATGCTGAAAATGGCCTTCACTCAGTTCAATTCCTATTAGAGATATAAAAGGTGTGAGGAATGAGGCCATCAATTGGAGAGGGCCGATTTCTAACATAGTATCAACGAATCCATTTTTATTAGGACAATAGGCTACAAGTTAACTATTCTTTGGAGGGGAAAAAATCAAATTTACCTCAAGACCAATAAATGTATACATGAAAGCATATCTCAAAGAACTTAAGGTTTATTATTTTTCAGGTTTCATCATGACAGGAAATTTAGAAGTTAAATCCACCTCAGACTAATGTCTCCCTCAACAGACATTAGGAGAAAGGAGACCTTCTGTGTTATAGTGGCATCCAGAACTTTAACTCTTAATCCATTGCAATTGGGACAGCAAAACTGCACCATTAGAAACCATATAAAAGCAGTTTTGTCTCATTTCCCATTTTTTTTTTGAGTAAACTCATTTATACATCTTACTAAGCTTGCTTTAAAAGTTTCCTTCAAATTCTGTTAAAATTCATTTTTCTTGTAATTAACCAGCTAAATACTTGTTCAAATTATGGCTACTCTCTGGTAGTAAATCAGGCTTAATTATCAATTCTGCTTAAACCAACTGTTATTTTCCATCTACTCTGCCACAATCTTTACTTTCCCTCTATTTTGGTGTCAACACTCCAATAACATCAAATGATTAAGGAAACCAAATCCATTATCCACTATTAATTCAACTACATACTCCACTTTTTGCTTAGGCCTACTAATACCTACAGTTTTCAAAGTTAACTTTGTGGGTGTATAATCTAACACCTTCATTTTTGTGCAGAATTGGTTTTACCTCACAAATCAAGGAAGGCTCAATAAATGTGTAATTTACAACTTATATTTTGTAGGAAAAAAATGTGTTCGGATAAATAAGCAAGTAAAGTTCAAGAAAACCGTCTAAGCAAGTGGTTTCTTTTTATTAACATAGTATCAATTAATACTTTCTGTAGCAATAAGCACATTAAATTGAATTAAGGTTTGCTAGAATGCCTTCCTCTCCAATTATGTTAAATCTCCTTTCTGATAAAAGTTTGAAGAGGTGGCATTTTAAAAAATCTCTTAAAAAAGAAATCATTTATTAAGAGAGAGAAAAAAATTTGTTATCAACTAACAACCAAATCTAACTCTACCTTCCCGGCTTTAAAGTTTGTCATACTTTTCAAATTAATTTATATGAAAAGAACAATTTCCAAATTTTAGTCTTAATAGGAAATCTTGGGCTTTGACCATTGGAAGTTTATTATCTGCCCTCTTAGGACAGCTATTTTTCCGTTAGCATGATTTAGTTCAAATATACCTCGAAGAAAAAGAAATTAGGATCAGGAGATGCAAACATGGTTAAGTTTCACTCATGTAGTATGAAAACTAGTTCTTCAGGAACTATACTATAGTTTACAAAGAGGCAGACTCCTCCTGCTCAATACACAGAAATCTGCAATACGACTTCAAAGGAACATTCTTTTTTTTTAGCAGTGTTTAAAAACAAAATGAAGGCCACCATTAGAGCCATAAAATAAAACTGCAAATGGAGGCTGGACTTATGACCCTACCAACTTTCATCCATGATCTATATACATGTTGAAAATACCACACCATATGTACCAATGAGAGTGGTTGCACCAGTCTGAAGATTCTTCTTTTAGACAACCAAGTCTTGTCTTTGTAAGTTGTAAATTACACGTTTATTGAGCCTTTCCTTGAAACCACAGAAAACCCTAATTTGCTGTGAATATGTTCCACCCCAAAAGCAAATTATAATTGGAAACTATTAAATTCAGCCATTTATTCTGAGTTTAAAAGACAATTACCAAACTACCAAAAAAATCAAAGGGGGGAACAGTCAAATAATACAGAATGTGGCTTGGGCATTGGTACTTTCTAAAAGTTCACCTGGTAATTCTAATGTGTAGCCAGGACTGAAAAACAGTATCTAAAGGCTACAGAAATGATTCCTCCTTTGTAATTTTCTAGTTCACACTACAATAAGGCTTTCATAAACTTCATTAAAATAAATAACATTAAAATAACCTGACATTATTTTACCAACTGAAGTATAATACTGACAATACTTTCTAATGACATTAATCTATGAAAAGAAAATATTAAGCTACAGTTATAACTTGGACAGCAAAGATTAAAGCTTATAACAAGAAACAGGAGTTTTTCTAAATGGTTCAGCAGTGGCCAACCTGTTAGTCCCCGATTCCAGTGACCTATTCTCAGAGCACTGGCTTCTCCTTGGGGATTTTCCATACTTCACTCACTGTTGCCATGACGACAGCTTCATCGCTATGTACCACTCCACATCACCCAGGCTTTGGTAAATGTAGCTGGTCGCTGTATAGTCGGTTGCAAGGGAAAAAAGAGTTGAAGTTAATAACATATACAAGTTACGTGTCTGAGTAAACTTGTAATATGCATAGAAACACTTTTACATCCTGCTTAAAAAAAAAAGGCTTCCATGCAATTAACAACTCCTTTTAAATTTCATGCTAGTCACTTCTAAGATCGAGACAAAAATCAGTCTCTTTGTAATGACCCCCCCAAAAAACCAGTTACAGACACAAAAGTCAGGTGAAATGTTTTACATTCCAAGATTTTTATAGTTAAGAACTACTCTCTGAAATGGAGGAAGAATGCTCTAAGGCTCACAGAAAAAGTTCAAAGTAGATAATCATTATTAAGTGATAAGAGTTGGCTCAATGGTTCAAAAAATAACAGAAAGCTATTTCCTTTAAACCAGCATAGAATCCTTTCACTGAAGAGCCTTGTTATTAGTGTGTTTTAAACACCCTGAAGAATCAGTGAGATATCTAAATGTAAATTTTAGCTCAGACCATACTAAATACCAAATTGAAATCTTCCCAATTTCCAGGAATTCCTCACCAAGAAGCTAAAAGATATTTTAAAATGAAATAAAAAATTAGTCTATCCCTGGATATGGTTAGGGTGAATGAGGAAAGATGGCAGAAAAAAAAAGAAAACTGAAAAAAATGTGAAAACTATCTGAAGAGCAATGTTTCAGACTTTTTAACTAATCGTTTAAGGTTACTTTTCTATTTGCTTGTCTCTGAACAGTTCTATTATGCCAACCTACAGATTCAGCTGATTAAGAAACTCTCAGGTAGGATACTAAGTTGGCACTAACCAACACCCAATCCCCAAAACAACTTAAAATCCTTTTATAACTTCCTTTCAAACTCCAAACATCACAATTTCTTAAAAAGTGAAAAGACCTAATCTATTCCAGCTATCTCCTTCTGCAGCATGGACTAGAAGTCACCTGAAGTGCTGCAACTAAAATTTCTGATACTGCTCACATGAACATGTAAGTCCACATAAAGTGTTATGATGTAGCCACAACACCTATAAGGCACTCTTTTGGTCTCTATTTTCTTACAAGAGAAATTAAACGAGCCTTATCTAAATATAACCCAATCAATCAAGAGTTAATTTTCTAACCCACTCACTGGGACTTATCTGACCAAGACAAAATACCTGTTTAATCCCTTTGACTTCAAACTTTATCATCCTGCAGTCCTTTCAGATCCGGTATATCGTAGTTCAATGTTGAAGTACTCTTTTAACAAAAGCCAACCTCAATTGATAACGTGTTAACTGGGACTTCCGAGTAGAGAAACAATCTACACAAAACTGTGCCACGTTATGAACTTGAACTGCAGTTTAAACTTCCAGCCTTCAGTCTTCCAGAGAGGGGCGGGGAGAAACAACTTACAGATACACTCACACTTGAGCCAAACGCATTCCCTTTCTTGTTTAATCTTAAGCCACAGGACTGCTTCACAGCACTGTTAGGATTGTCCATAAATGCAACTGCCTCTACAAACTTCAGATAGCTGGTTAATTGTGGGGGTTTTTGGTTTTGGTTTTGTTTTTTGTATTTTTTGGTTATTAAGTATCAGTGTGCTCCTATGTGAATTTCAACACCTAAATAAGTTTTCCTGTGCATGGGTTTTAACTTGAGAGGAAAGAATGTTTTGGTTTGATGATTGGTGTGCACAGTACAGTAGCAGCGAGAGATGTTGTGCTCAATCATGCCAATCTTACCTTTTTCCTCTTAACTGGCGTAGGTGGTGGAACACATTAATCACGTCTCTTATTCTTCGGGGCGCTTCTTCGATTTTTGATGCAAGATTAATACAAGCCATGGCAACAATCTGAAAGAACGATCCAAGGAAACCTTGTTAGATGAGGGCTCCATCCCGTGCCGTTCGGAAAAAGTGCCCCTCCCCAAACCTAACTAACTTATTCTGCTGAAAAAACTTTAGGAGGACACAACTAGGACAACCTTCGGTGAAATAAAATTAAGATGACATTTCCGAGCCATAAGCTTCCCGGCCACGTTAATACTGTAAATTATTTTAATTGATTAATCCCTCCATTCTGAATCCAGAGTCAATCAAGCCCAGTCTCACAGAGCTTTCGAACTCGGCTGAAAATTCTAATTATTGATGGGAGGGCTCGGGACCCATTTCCTGGATTCTAGGCCCTGGAACACATTCCGAAAGCCCCCACTTCCGGGGGGGGTGAGAACCAGGTACCGAGGCCCAAAGGAACCACTTTCTTTCTGGGAGAGCTCGCTGCTAGCGCCCCCCCCCCCACCCCCGCCCCGCACCCCCATTTCCGGGTGGAGAAATCCTTTTCCCCTCGCTCCCGCCGTCCTTACCTCGAAACTGTGTTTGACGAAAGACTTGGAGTAGAAGAACCGATGGAACAACACCTGCCCCGTTGCCATCGCCACCTGCAGACGAGAGAGAAGAGCGGAAGCGCCAGGGTCAGGCGGGCCCGCACCAGGCGCCGCCGCCATTTTGTGCCGCCGCTCGCTCCCCGGCCCTCCCCACCGCGAGCACCGAGGGAGCCTCGCCTCCCCGCCCACCCGCCCCGCTCCGGCTGGGACCCCGTGAGAAAAGTCCCGAGAGGGCCATTCCCGGTCCGGCCCCCCTCCCCGCTTGCCGGCACCTGGTGGGAAGGGAATACCGAGGGGGGGGAGCGGGGGGAAGAGGCGCGCCCAGCGGCCCGGGCCGAGCACCGACCTGCGGCAGGCGGAGGAGGATGCCGGCGGCTTGGATGAGCTCGCAGCCCAGGATGCGCAAGTCCGTCTCGCTAAACAGGTCGAGCCCATCCTGCATGGACGGGGTGGGCGACAGCCGCTCCTCCGGGATCAGCGAGTGGTCGATGGTGAGAGAAACTTCCGAGTAGAGGCGGTCTCCGATCAGAATCCCTCCCGACGTGGTCGTCGTCGTGGTCGTGGTCCCCGAGCTCGAGCCGCCCGCGCTGGGGGCGGCGGCCGACGAGCTGGCGGCGGCAGCGGTCGCTGTCGGGTGAGGCCCGGACGCCATAGTCTCCGCGAGCTGCACGCACGCCCGACGCAGCCGGAACCCGGAGCGAAACTAACCAGCGTCCTCGGCGCGACGGATGTGCCCGTGACCGCCGCGTTCGGAGCCGCTTTACGCAGCGTGCGCTTCCGCTCTGACGTCACCACGCGCAGCGGCGCGAGCAAACTAGTCCCTCCAGGTCCCCCCGCCCCACCGCCGGCGGCGCCGCCTCCCGCGCGGTCCGGGAACTGCTGTCGAGGCGGGGGACCCTGCGGGGACCTGGGTGGCCTGTCTGCTGGGCCCCCTAAAGTGGTCGGGGTGGCCCCAAGGTCTTTTTTAGCTAAAATAGGCCCAAACTGCCTTGTCTGTAATCTTTTCAGCCACAGTAACAATATGGGAGTTTTGCAAGCTCACCTCCTCCGCAAGTGAGACTTGGCAACAGTTACCACAGCCTCTGCGCGATGTTGGTCGTTTGTGTGGACCCTGCGTCCCCGGGCTCCCTTCGCGCGCCCTCTCCCGAGTGTTCGCGTCTGAGGGGCGCAGTGGACCAGGGGGACCCCGGGGGCGACCTTCGCCCCCTCGGGCGGGTGCGAGTGCTAACCCAGATGTGTAGGGACACGCTTGTAATTGAAAACGACCCGGGAGGAATCGGAGAGAAGTGCTTTGTAGAATTTTGAGAAGACAGGACTGCGAGCCGCATCGGTTCCCCAAAAAGGGCGTGGGGGAGCGATTGCGGTCGGAGGCTGGAGGCTGGAGGCTGGAGGCCCGGGAGGGCGGCTGCTTTCGCCGCCGGGTTGCGGAGCTCCGGCCCACGCTGCGGCGCCGGCTCCCGGGAATCTGGAAAATCCCTGTTTTCCAGAAATAGCCTCGGGAGGAGAGTCTCACGGGGTGATCTGATTGTGCCCGGAGAGCCCGTCCTCCTCGGGGTTAGTGCGGGCCATATTGTTTCCTCCCTACTATTAGCTAGCAACTCCCAAACATTTCTTAACGTGTGAAGCCAGAACAATGATGCCGAGCCACGCTGCTCAGTCTAGAGTTGGTCTTGGTTCGCTCCTTTTTTTTGTCCCGCCCTTGAACTTCTGAGAGGTTGTCCGGGGATGAGGCGCCCGGTTCCCTTTGGTTACACAGCTCGGCTTTAAGGCTTAATCCGTTTAATGGTGAAAAGAGCACTGACTCTGGGATCTGTAGGGCAAAGGGAGTTTGAATACATTTCAGTTTTGGCAAGGATGTCACTAAGGCAAAATACACTCAAAAACTCACTTTTGAAAAAGCATTAAGTCAACTCTGCTTAGTAAAGACTGACCGGTGGTTCTGAACCCTGGCTGCACATTCGCACCCTCTGGGGAGATTTTAAAAGAGGCTGATTGAGCCCGAGCCGGCTCGCTCAGTGGTTGGAGTGTCGGCCTGAGGACTGAAGGGCCCTGGGTTGATTCAGATCAAGGGTATGTACCTGGGTTGCAGGCTTGAGCCCCCGCCGGGTCAGGGCACATGCAGGAAATAACCAATGTCTCTCCCATAGATCTCTCTCTCTCTCTCTCTCTCTCTCTCTCTCTCTCTTTCTCTCCTCCCCCTCCCCCCCACCCTCCCAACCTCATTTCCTTCCACTTTCTCTAAAAATCAATGGAAAAAATATTCTCAGGTGAGGATTAACCAAAAAAAAAGGAGGGGTGGAGAGAAATGCCAAAATTCAGAGTTATAAAGGGTCCAGAATTGGGAAGAACTAAGCATATGTGTTAATTGTCTAAAAATACTAGAAATGAATTCAGGCAAGTGAATCTCTTCCATTAGGAAGGTAAATGATTGAATTTTTTGTCACTCGAAGAAAAAAATGTAATGGAAAGTCTGTAATATAGTTTGTGTATTCTTTCTCAACAGACGTCCTACTAGTAGGCCCTTAGTCCACCCAGGCCTAAAAGGAAATCAGTGACGATAACTAAAGTTGTGTTTCTGTTTCAAGACCTGCAGGCTTCAGATAATGAGTAAAGAGACAAACAGCGATATTCCTGATGTTTGTTGTTGTTAATTCTCACCCAAGGATTCTTTTCCATTGATTTTTGGAAAGAATAGAAGGGAAGGGGAGAGACAGAGAGAGGCACATTGATTAGTTGCCTCCTGCATGCACCCAGACCAGGGCCAGGAATGGAGCCTGCAACCGAGGTAGGTGCCCTTGACCGGAATCAAATCCAGGACCCTTCAGTCCAAAGGTGGATGTTCTAATCACTGAGCCAAACCAGCTAGAGCATCCTGATGCTTAAGTCCGCTCTCATTCCATTAGCCTCTCTGGGGAGTGTGTTTTCCATTATCTAAATTTTCTGGTTCTTTAATTCTAAACTCACAATTGGTATAATTTTATTAGTTCCTTCAACAATTAGTTATTCATCAGACCCCCAGAATTTAATGATGCAACACTGTAATTTTGGCTAAGGGCAAATCTTCACCTTAATAAAGAGAATGGTACACACTAAGCCCATCAAGGTGACCGGTAAGTGCATAAAGCAGAAAAGCGGTAAGCCATCCTGGTTACTGTCATCAGGGAGAATTTATAAACCTGAGAAATGACTAATCAAGTTTCTGTTCACAGCAGATATCAGAGTACCTGACTTTTTTGTGAAGGGTTCATATAGTTACATGACTAATTTTCATTTAGTCTGGTGGCAGTTATTTTTATCACTTTCTGGTCTAGTTACTCTCCTCATTAGATATACTCATTCTGGAAATGACATCTGTGTAATTCACTCTTGGCATATACTGCTTAGAAAATCTCATGCCTGCACTTGCCTAGGCATTGTGCTGCTGGTCTGCTGAGACCTGGTTCTAAGACAGGGGTGGGCAACCTTTTTGTGAGTGCGTGCCAAAACCAGCAAAATCTCTGACTCAAAATTCTTCTGCATGCCAACCCTAATTTTTTGAGAACATGTTATGCCTACTTGATATCTCTTAAGGTGTACGTATGTGAAGAACCTTGAAGACATAATAAAATTCATTTATTTTTTAATGTATACATGTACACTGATAGTCCGACAGAAAACTTTATGACTCCGTTTGATATTATCAGTGGGACTTTTGTTGTTGCATCACTGATGACAGAGATTTTACATCAGGTTTATATTTTGTGACCTTCAGAGATATGCACGAGCTACTACTTTCATCCGTCAGGCTTCTCCTATTACGAGACTTAACAAAATTCATCACTGAGAACAAAGATTCACAAACGTATGTGGATGAAACCAAAACACTGGTCAGATCTAGGAAGGCAGTGAGAGTTAAGGCAGAGGCATAGAAATTGCTCTTCCCCTCTCTCGTCAATCCATGTCTACGGTCTTTAAGATAACTTGTTATGTAAAATTATTTACCTAAGATGCACCTACACTGAATTTATCTGAAAAATAAAAAAGTTGACATTAAGAAATTGTAAATGGAAGATTATAAGAGAGGGTTTCGCGTGCCAGCAAAAGTTACTGGCGTGCCATGTTTGGCACATGTGCCAGGGGTTGCCCACCCCTGTTCTAAGACTTTCAACAACCAGCTTTTACCCCTTGAAGTTTCACTGGGCCCCTTGAGGATCTAAAATTCTTTTGGAATCTGGTCATCCAGACATCTTGAACCTAAACTCATCTTTGGTTCCTAATTCTTCATTCTATTTTAGTTACTCAGTCCTGTTGTTCCTTCCTCCAAGGAGATAGTTCTTGAATCTGCCTGTTCGGTCTGTTCTGCCATATCTGCTGTTACTTCATGCCTGGACCACTACAACAGTTTTCTTTTTCTTTTTTTTAATATATTTTTATTGATTTCAGAAAGAAAGGGAGAGGGAGAGCGAGAGCAAGAGAGAGAGAGAGAAACATCAATGATGAGAGGAAATCATGGATCTGCTGCCTCCTGCACGCCCCCCACTGGGGATCGAACCTGAAACCTGGGCATGTGCCCTTGACTGGAATCAAACCCGGAACCCTTTTGTCCGCAGGCTGATTCTCTGTCCATTGAGCCAAACCAGCTAGGGCATATGACAGTTTTCTAAATGATCTTGCCGCCATTCTCTCCCATCCCTCCTTCATCCTGGGAAATTGGTAACTATCAAAATACCAGTTTCTTTAACCCACTTCCTCAAATTAAAAGCTCTGGAGATGATAGAGCTCAACACCTTTTGGAAGTTGAGGCTTTCTACAATCTCAACTTACCTTGTCATTCCTTTCCTTATTGCATTATCACCTCACCTTATCTCCCTTCCTCCCCCTCACGTCTCTGCCTGAACCAAGACCAGCCAGACCTATCTCCTCACAGACGTGTCATTTGCTTCCAGATTTCACACTTTCCCTCATTCTGTTTCTCAAGCCTGCAACATTCTTCTCCTATTAATCAAATCCTACCAAATTTTTAAAGATCCAGATGAAGTTCTACCTTTTGCCAGAAGCCTTCCCCACCCAATCTAGCTTTCATTAATGTTCTCTTTGGATGCTCTTAAAGTATTTATGACCTCTAGTATACATTTGGACACATGATTCTATACTATTATGCATTGTTATTTGATCACTTCGTGGGTGTGTGTCTTGGCTTTTTAAAACAGTACCATTTTGGGGTTTATTTTGTATTCTCTACAGAACCTGGTAGACACTACTATGTGGAAGATACTTAATCAAAACTTTTGTGCTGAATTGTATGTTTTTCTCCTCGTGCCTTGCTTGGCAGCCTGGTCTTGCCTTTTCCTTTCTGTCCAGGGGCCCATTTCACCCTCATCCTACCACCACAGCCCTCTCTCCCTAATAGAGAGCTGCAAGTCCCCAGCATCCTGTTCTCTTTGCAGCCCTTGTAACAGAGCAGCCACGTTTCCACGTCTGCTCAAATCCCTGTCCTTACGGTGGGCTGGGTAAATAGCACACGTCTGTTCTATACAGGCATGGGCTGCAGAACAGGAGGCCTGCTGGAATTGCTATAACTAGAGAGTTGTGGAGGCATGGGAGTTCGCAAAAAGCAACACAGTGAAGTAGTTTTGTGTCTGAATGTGGACATAGGCTCTGGGACAGTTTTTGGAGGTGTGTCCAGAAACTGGGCATGTGTGACTAAGAGTTAAGGCAGTGCCAGTTTAATAAGCTAAATTATAAAACCAACAAAACCCCAGGTTTGCTTTGGGAGCTAGCTTAAAGTTAATATCTATTCTCTTCTTTTTCACACAAGGACACTAAAGTCCAAAGAGGAGACTGCAAATAGTAGATACACAATATTTGCTGATTGCAAATGATCCAGCCAAGCCAGTCCTTGGACGGATTCACTCTATAATATTTAATGTCAGAAGCTGACCAACTACTGACATTGACCAAGAAATTGAGAAGCTTTGCAATAGAGAACTATACAAAGTAAAAGGTAAAGGCCCCATTCCTATCTATTTGTATCCCCCAATCTTTCACCAAAATTATCTAAGTACCTTCCCCAGAGGTAATAGCATGATGTCTATCCTTCCAGATACATACATATCTCTATATAGCATATACAAATTGTTAATTTTATATGAAAGGGAGCATACTATATATATATATATATATATATATATATATATATATATATATATCCAACATGGTGTGGAATCATGGTGTGGAATGGTACTCCTGTATAATCCAATAAAGATGAATTGTCACTAAAATAAAAATTTTAAGTATATTGCAAATGCAGGCCTGAAATGCTTATTATTAGAGCCAACAGCCATAAGGTTACTGTGTCAGATTGCCATAACAACTTCTAGATGTTTACTCTCAATCTCTGTACTTATCTCACTGAGGACTCATAACCAACAGTTCAGAGTTGGGTGCCAATCTGTGGGCCACTCTTTGAGTGGTATTACCCTTTGAATTTTTTAAAAAAATATTTTTTTATTGATTTCAGAGAGGAAAAGAGAGGGAGAGATAGAAACATCAATGATGAGTCAGAATCATTGATCAGCTGCTTCCTGCATGCCTCACACTGAGGATTGAGCCTGAAACCCAGGCATTGATTTTTAAAATTTTCCCAATTCAATCTGATAATAATAGAAATAGGATTAAGGTACAGAAATGGTTCCTAGGATGGGTTAATTTTGTAAACACACAAACAAGGCAGCAAAAAGGAGGTGATATGTGATCTGGGTTTTAAAGACTGCATGGGCATTTGTCAGAAGAATAAATATGGAAGAGCATCTTAGGCAGAGGGGAGCCAGGAGCCAGAGCGGGGAGGTATGAGGTTGCTAGGGGTGTTGAGAAATACAGGGGACATCTGTTGTTTTATCCAGGCATTCAACCGCCCTTCTGTTTTTCCTTGGGACCCATAACTTCTCTGTCCTGAGTGTAGGTGGTTTGGGTGGGGCTGACCTTTTCCCCAGCTCATGAACTAATCAGCATCGCCCAGCCCTCCACTTCCTCTCCGTGATTAGTTCAGAATGGCAATCAAGTCCAGGACTTTTGCTGGAACCTTGGCCAGGGCAGGGGAGAGAAGTACTTATTCCTGCTGGGATTGCTGAGAGGAGGATGTGAGCTCCGAGGTACAGACTGCATGGAGAAGAGGGCCAGTTTGAGAATGAAGCCAACAGAGAAGAAAAGCAGAACAGAGACAGAAACCCAACCCAGTGACTTCATTTATGGCCCTGCATGTAGCCATACCCTATATTTTATCCCTGGGATTTTCAGTTTCATAAACAAATAACTTCCTTTTTTATTCATTTACTCTTAAACTTACCTTAACTAAAAGACTTACACAAGGAATATTATGGAGTGATAGAATATTGTGTGTGTGAGTATGTGCGTGCGCACTAGGCACTAATGAGGCTGCAGAAGCAGGCAGGGCTAGAATATGAAGGGCTGAGAAACAGGCCCTCATTTCTGGGGGGCTCCCGGGAGCTCTGGAGGGTGTAAAGTAGTGATTACCTCAACAAGAAGCTCTAATATTAAGAACATTAACTTCCTCAGGCTTTTCTAGTGGTTTCATTTTTGTTACGGTTTCTCTCCGATTGGGGCTAGGCAAATTAATTTTTTTTTAAATATATTTTATTGATTTTCTACAGAGAGGAAGGGAGAGAGATAGATAGTTAGAAACATCGACCAGCTGCCTCCTGCACATCTCCCAAGGGGGATGTGCCCGCAACCCAGGTACATGCCCTTGACCGGAATCGAACCTGGGACATTTCAGTCCGCAGGCCGACGCTCTATCCACTGAGCCAAACTGGTTTTGGCAGGGGGCTAGGCAAATTAAAGGTAGAAAGGACCGAGTAGGCTCCTGAAAATAACATTTTAGAAAATTATTCCATTTTCCTTTTAAGGATTGAAAGTTAATTTTGAGTCATGAAGTAACTGACCCTGTTTAGTACTCTTTCCTATTTACAATAAAAATTCAATGCAAGCAGATTTTCAGTGCAGAAACTTTTAGGAATAATAAGAACCAGCTTTTCTGAAGCTTCCTACACAATTAGTTTGCTCAGCAGGAACAGGAAGTGACTCTGGGAACCTGAGGATCACATTTAGCCATTGTGAACATTATAAAACAAAAACAGAGCAGCCTCACCCTAGCTGGTTGGGCTCAGTGGATAGAGCCTCGGCCTGCAGATGGAAGGATCCCGGTTTTGATTCCCATCAAGGGCACATGCCCAGGTTTTGGGCTTGATCCCCAGTGGGGGGCGTGCAGGAGGCAGCCTATCGATGATTCTCATCATTGATGTTTCTGTCTCTCCCTCTCTGAAATCAATAAACATATCTTTATTTTTTAAAAACATATATATATTTTTTTAAAAAAAAGGAATTCTCAATTAAAAAATAGAGGAGCCTCCCATCAAGTCCCCTGCAAAGAGCTATCATGTCTCTTTAACCTAGAACAATTCCCTAGGGTTTCTGTCTTTTATGATGCTTTTCATGATTTCTGGCCAACTCTTTTGCAGCATGTCCCTCAATTTGGATTTGTCTAATTGTGTCTTTATGGTTAGATTCAGGTTAAACATTTTCCCAGGAATGATGATGTATCCTTCTTCAAGCTTCACATCAAGGGGCACACAATGTCCTTTTTTTTTTTTTTGGTTAATTTTGGTCATTTGGTTACTGTGGGGCCCACTAGATTTATCCATTAAAAAGGTCCCTTTACACCTTCGTAATTAATACAGTCCGTGGAATGATTCTTTGACAATAGCATTCTTAATAACAGATCTTACCCACATTATTTCAAAGAAGAAGAACTGTCCATGATGAAAATCTGTAGAGATAGAATTATTCCCACAAACCTCTAGTGAGTACCCAGCAAACACTTACGCTTGGTGTTAAGACCAAATTGCTAGGAGCCCAAAGAAATGTCTTTCTATGATCTAATGGCCATTTTAGAACTTAGGAAGTGTAATGGTCAACTAATTAGAAACATCTGAGGATAAGGAAAAAAAGAAAGACTAAAGTGATGAAGACTGACCAGAGTATACCATATGTTAAACAGAGTCCATGAAATGCTAAAAGAAAGGGGAAAGTACCACGGAATTCAGGAGAGTCGCAAAAACCACATTAAATGTGAGGAAAGGAAAGTTCAAAGATATAAAATGACTAAGATTTTAGAACTATCTTTCTTTTTATTGACTTCAGAGAGAGGATGGGAGAGAGAGAGATTGAAACATCCATGATGAGAGAGAACCATTGATTGGCTGCCTCCTGCACACCCCCTATGGGGGATGGGGTCGAGCCTGAACCTGGTCATGTACCTTTGACCCCAATGGAATTGGGGACCCTTCAGTCCACAGGCCCATGCTCTATCCACTGAGCTAAACCAGCCAGGGCTAGAACTATGTTTCTGATGCCCCATCAGTGTTCCTTCCATGGCAGCGCCCGAGGCTCTCCTGCAGTACCGGTTCACAGGACAGGTGCAGCATTTGTTAGGACACAGGTGTAACATCTGTTATCTGTGAAAACAACCCATGATCTCTATCTCACTAGGTAACTGAAAGCACACACCTTCTCCAGCCCCACCAGCAGGTGCGTTAGAGGAAATGTTTGGATGGACTCAGTCATGTACTTTGGGACATTAAACTCTCCGAGACCCAGTCTTCTTTTGCCTCAAGGAACAGGTGTCCTCCCAGCGACCATGACACATACACACCACACAACCGGATATTGCTCACCTGCCACACCTTAGGACGATCACAGTACAATATGTTTCTATTCACAAATACGGAAACATTCCAGAGGCACGGAACTCCTACCTCCGGGGAGTAGCTGTTTGCGGCTGATACATCATTTCTTTACAGTGCACAGTGTGTTCATATGTATCGCCGGGGCCTCACAAACAACCAGTTACTCCTTCCGTGAGAAGCGGGGATCAGCGTGAGGAGTCGACTGAATTACTGTGTTTATTTGTTTTTCTTTAGACTTAAGAATACCTAGTGTGTCCCTAGTTTTCAGAGCAGAAAGTAAGAATCGTCTTACACACAGTCACTCACTAGTTTGCATTCATTCATCGAGTCCCAGCGGGACGACCGCAACCTCTAACTTAAAAGCTGGGTCTGCAGGCGAGCTGTTCTGGGCGCTGTTTTGGTGAATCGTGTGATTTCTTCTGCTCTGTGGACACTGAAGTCCCAACCTGCTTTCTCCCTTGGGCTCAGCAAATTCAGGGGAAAATAAGTGGCTGCGGGGACAACAAAAGCTGGAGACGCTCCATTCTACACACTCAGTCGTTTCAAAAGCTATTTTTAAACGCCAAGGCCACAGTGTCCTGTGCCTTTTGCTGGCCCTGCACCTTCCCACGAAGTCACATGCGCAGCCTGCTTGCTGTGACTTCATCCCACAGGTATTAGGACTTTTACAACATTCACAGAAGGACCTGGCGATGCATCAGTCACCACAGGCCGCCACGGGGAGACTCAGGGGCCGGCTGCCCGGGAGGGTCCAGCGGGGAAATGACCCCCGGGGGCTGGTCGGTCGGGAGTCCGTTTCCCCTTCCCACGATCTCGGCGGGAGCCCGGTGCCCACACCCAGGCGGCCGCCCCCCGAGCCTCACGGGGCAGCTGCGCTCGGCTCTGCCCTGGAGCTCGTGCCAGGTCCGGCCGGGCGGCCAAGGGCTCGAGCGCGAAGGGATTTCGCAACGGCCCAGAGGGAGGAGGGCGGCCGCCCGTCATTTCTAGGAAGCCTCCAGCCTCTCAGGCCGCGGGGGCTGCCGGGAAAGCCGCTCACGAGCCGGAAGAACTGCCCGTCCGGCCCCCTGCGCACGCGCGGCGCGGCCGAGTGGCTCCCTCCGCCGGCGGCCGGATCTAACTTGTCGGCTCGCTCGGTCCGCTGTGACGTAGCGGGTCCACTCCCTTGGCCCCGCGGCGCCGGCCTCTTGTGACGTCACAACGGGATCCGCCCACGGGGTCCGGCTCTGAGGCTCGTGGGATGGGCCGGATAGGGAGGTTTCTGGTGCCTTTCCTGTCTTTTGTAATTTCACAACACTTCTCGAGAAGGCTTTGAACTCTGCCCATTTCCTAATAAGGGTGAAGAGGAGGGCAGCCCTCACCCCGGCTCATTTCCTTCGGAGCTGGGAGTTCTGCTGAAAGTACAGGGCAGCCCGGCCGGTGTTGCGCAGTGGTTGGGGCACACGCCTGGGTTGTGGGCTCATTCCCCTGTAGGGGGCGTGCAGGAGGCAGCAGATCAATGATTCTCATCATTGATGTTTTTCTCTCTCTCCCTCTCTCTTTCTCCCTCTCTGAAGCCAATTAAAGAAGGAAAAAAAAGGTACATTGCAGCCCAGCCCTGTGGCTTGGTGGTTGAGCACTGACCTGTGAACCAGGAGGTCACCATTCCATTCCCGGGCAGGGCACAAGCCGGGGTTACAGGCTTGATCCCCAGCGGATTTCCATCCCTGGTGGGGGACGTGCTGAGGCAGTCCATGGGTGATTCTCCTTAAGGTTTCTCTTTCTCCACCTCTCCCTTGCTCTCTGAAAGCAATAAAATATGTTTTTTTAAAAAGTACACTGCAAAATATGTCATTACTCAGTGTTGCCTGGGAGCTTTTGTTTGTTTCTATGTGTTCTCTTAGTGTGTAAATTGGAAGGATGGCATCCATAAAATGGCAACTTTGTATACGGACACAGGGATAAGCAATATCTACTCTGACTTGAGGGAATTAATGTAACTTTAATTTAGTTTAAATGTAGTTTTCATTTGAATTATCTGGGAGTGGTATCTTGAAAGGCTATATGTTGAAAACACTTTAAGAGATTAGAAGAGTGATTTTTTAAAAAAGTTATTTAAAGCCCAAATGAAAATCAAGGTGTATTAGAAATAAAATAAGAATTAAACGTACAAAGGGCTAAGGTTTTGTTTACATTTTACAGATAATGAAATAGGCCCAGAGATTGCTGGGACTTGCCCAAGAGGGTGGAATTCAGGCCACTGCTTTCCCCATGCAGTGCTCCCACCAGCTGGCGAAGGCTGCCTTCCGAACAGGCTGGGCCTGGACAGGTATTGCCTCCTTCCTCGCCTTCCTCACTCCCCCACCCCCACCTCCACCCCCATTTCCATGATTTTGGTTCCTGTCCTGAGTTCCTCTTGTTTTCTGTTTCTTTAACGTTTTATTTTCTTGATAATTGACACCTCCCCTCTTGAAACTTCCTTTCCTTTAAATCACTCCCTCAAATGACCATAAAAGGAAATAGAACAGAAAGATTTTAAAAGTTTATTTTCATAATGGTTATTTTATTGTTTTAAGGGTGTTTTTTTTCGGGGGGGGGGGGAGTGGGTGGAGTTCATATAAAATTTCCTCTAGTAAAAGCTGTCTTCTGTTTCCATAAGTGCTCAGTGAAAATGTGTGTGTGTGTGTGTGTGTGTGTGTGTGTGAGTGAATAGTGAAGAAAAGATAGAGAGAGGTAGAAGAGAGTATGTGGCAAGCTGTTTAGAATCAGAAACCGAATAGATAATCTGTATAAACTCTAAATGATGCAAAACTCAATTAGAAACAACAGCAGAGCTGCAGATTCTATAAAATGTAAGAAACACATCATTTCCAATCAGTCCCTGCGTGTGCCTCTGGGAGGTATTTCCTTAGATGATTTTGGTCTTTCATGGAATAAACCTGGAGCTCTAGCTGCCCCAGAAGAATTACAGGGATTCTATCTGTGAAATAATAAAATACCAGTGTTTCCAAGCTATATGGCCACCCCGTATGCTTCTCAATGTGGTGGCACCTGTTCTCAGTCCCACCCGTGGCTGTTACTCTCGCTACGCTTTGGGAAGATAAAGCACAGAGAGTCACTAACCTAATATAAACCTCCAAGAAGGCAGAGTTTCTGCTGCTATTTCCAATTCCCCAGTCTCTGAGTGAACATGTCTAGTAATAAGGAATTAATGTTTAATTTTTAAAAAAATATTTTATTGCTTTCGGAGAGGAAGAGAGAGTTAGAAACATCAATGATGGGAGTCATTGATTGGCTGCCTCCTGCATGCTCCCTTCCAGGGACCTAGCCCACAACCCAGGCATGTGCCCTTGACCGGAATCGAACCTGGGACCCTTCAGTCCACAGGCTGACACTCTATCCACTGAGCCAAACCGGCTAGGGCTAATTTTAAATGAATAATAGAATTCACTAAAATGTGCAAATACCAACCGACTGAAGTATGCTCTCTCAGTACCACTTCAACTTTCTCTGTTTCTTATTCTACTTGGTCAACAGTAACTAGCAGAAATTGATTGGAAATATGTTTTGTATTTTGCTAAAGCATTTGAAGTTTGGTTTATGTTCTAGTTCCCAATATTGAAAGAAGTTACACTGTTCTGCATTCCATAATTTGAAAATAATTGGAACCTTGGCATTATGCTAAGTGAAGTAAGTCAGAAAAAGGCAAATACTCTACGATCTGGCATATGTGGAATCTAAAAAAGCCAAACTCATAGGAACAGACAGTAGAATAGTGATTACCAGGGGCTAGGGGGCGGGATGTTGGTCAAATGGTGCAAACTTAGTTATAAGAGGAGTAAGTTCTGGGGGTCTAATGTACATCGTGGTGATTATAGGCAACAATATAACCACCATAGCGATAGCTACCACCTCCAACCTGCCACATTATTACCATTTCTTCTTTGTGGTGAGAATATTTAAGATGTACTCTCAGCAATATTCAATATACAGTATTACTAACTATAATCACCACACTGTACATTAGGCCCCCAGAACATGTTACACATATAACTGGAAGTTTGTATCCTTTGACCAATACCTTCTCATTTCCTCCACTCCCCAGCCCCTGGTAACCTCCACTCTACTGTCTGTTTCTCTGAGTTTGGCGTTTTTAGATTCCACATGTGAGATCATAGACTATTGTCTTTCTCTGTATGACTTGTTTCGCTTAGCATAATGCCCGTAAGGTTCATCCAAGTTGTTAAAACCCACAGAATTTCCCCAGCCTTTTTTTTTTTTTTTTTTTGTGGCTATGGATGTATATATCTCATCTTCTTTGTTCATCAGTTGATGGACACTTAGGTTGTTTTCATGTCTTGGCTATGGTGAGTAATGCTGCAAAGAATGTGGGAGTGCCGATATCTCTACAAGATCCTGATTTCAATTTCTTTGCTTATATACCCTAGATTAGGATTGCTAGATCAAATGGTAATTCTATTTTTAATTTTTTGAGGAACCTCCACACTGTTTTCCATAATAACTGCGCCAGTTTGCATCCCCACCATCAATGGGTAAGTTTTTGTTTTTATCCAGACCCTCACAAACATTTACTTCCTTGCATTTTTATGATATACATCCCAACAGGTATGAGGTGATCTTTCTTATGGTTTTGATTTACATTTCCCTGTTGATTAGTGATGTGAAGCACCTTTTCATGTGTGTGTCGGCCATTTCTATGCCCTGTCTGGGAAAATATCTATTCAGTTCCCCTGCTCATTTTTTTAAGATTTCTTTTTCCCCCACTGAGTTTTAGGAATTCCTTTTCGATTTTGGAAGTTAGCCCTTATCAGATATGTGATTTGCAAATATTTTCTCCCACTCCATAAATTGCCTTTTAATTTTGTTGATTGTTTCTTTACTGTGCAGAAGCTTTTTAAGTTTGAGATAGTTCCATTTATTGATTTTTGCTTTTGTTGCCTGTGTTTTTGCTGTCATATCCAGAAAGTTGCTGCCAAGATCAATGTCAAGGAGCTTTTGTCCCATTTTTTTTTTTCCTTTTAGGAATCTTGCAGTTTCAGGTGTTATGTTTAAGTCCTTAATCCATTTCCAGGTCATTTTCTGTGAGTGGTGAAAGATTTAATTTTTTTGCATGTGGTTATCCAGTTTTCCCAATAAGAGAGATCTTAAATGTTCTTAACATAACAACAACAATAAAATGGTAATCATGTGAGGGATGTGTTAAGTACCTTTATTGTGGTAAACATTTCACAATATATGCATGTCATATCATCACATTAAACTTACATCATGTAATATATCAATTATATCTCAATAAAAAACTGGGAGGGGGGAAGAAAGAAATGTTCATTTTAATGACATTTGATAGTTGGATAGTAAAAACAGAAAAGATGACACACTTTATGATCTTTAGTCCAAACATTTAAATGTTAGGATAAATTACTCCCATGTTTGTGTAATGTTATAAGTCTACCCTGAAGTCTACAATTTACAGAAGTAGTTATTCTATATTATTCTTTTTTTTTCTCCAAAAAAATTCTACCTTCCGGGGTAGTGATTCTTTAACTTTTATATTTTACTAGAGGCCTGGTGCACGAATTTGTGCATGGGTGGGGTCCGGCTGGCCTGCCCCGATAGGGGCCCATCAGGCCAGGCCAGCAGGGGGGAGGGCCGTGGGCAGTTGGCCGGTCAGTCCCACCCCCGATCGGGGTGTTGGGGGCCAATCAGGGCCGAGCTGGCAGGGGGTGGGGTGGGGGCAATCGGGGCCCGGATCAGGTTGGTTGGCTGCCACAGTGCGCATCATAGCCACCAATCATTCTGGTCATTCTGATAGTTCTGGTTGTTCCGCCATTCTGGTCGCTGGGCTTTTATGTATATAGCTACCTTACTGCAATGTGGATACCCCAGAAGTTCTCTCTCCCTGGGGCTCCCAGGTGGTGCAGGGGGAGCATAGGGCTCTGCCCCATAATGCACAGCCCTTTCCCCAACATTGAAGAGAAAGCTGGGCCTTGAGTCTGTCCTGCATATTCCTATAGCTTCTCAGATTCTTGCAGACAATGACCCAGGAGGCAAACCATGCATGAACCATCTAGGAAAAAATAAGAAAGGAAGAAAAAAAGAAGTAAAAAAAATATTTTATACCTTACTGTAAAGTTGGGAACCTGGATCCTGGAATGGTAAAACACAAAGCTTGCTTAATCCAAATAGCATTTTGTCTAATTATAGGATTTTATTATTATTACCATATACAGTGTTTTGAGGACAGAAAGCATTGTGGGGGTTAGTTTTACTTTTGTGGTTCTAAAATACAAACAAAAATCATGATTTTGTTACTCTTTAAGAAGTCAGCAATCATGTTGACATTTTTACTGCTAGAACTGTTAAACATACTAATAAGAAATCATGTCATCACCAGAAAAGTTGTACTAATCAATTCTCTTCCAGGAAAGCTTGAAAATGCATTTTTCTAACAACACCTGCATTCATGAGGTAAAATTTAAAATGGAGGCTCAAAGGGCTATATTTGCTAATTGTAACCCTTGTGTCTTACAACAATAGAGGCTCTCACAATTAAGCAATTTGAACAAAGCATTAGCAAGGCTTTATATATTTTACTGCTCTGAAGCTATAATAAATCATTTTTAAAAAATGATTTTTAAAGAGAGAGGAAGGGAAAGGGTAAAGAGAGAGAGAAACATTGATGCTACATCAATTGGCTGCCTCTTGCATGCCCCCTACTGGGGAGCAAGCATGCAACCCTGAGCAGGAATTGAACCAGCGACCTTTCTGTGTATGGGACAAAGCCAACCAACTGAGTCATACCATCCAGTGCTAATGCTATAGTAGAAAACACACACATGCAAAGGTTACTTCAGATTATTTGGAAAAACTTTTATTCCAAATTATTGTAAACTTCCATTCTGCATGGAATATTTGATTGGAATATCAAATGATTGGAATGTTTTTGAATAATTAATCTATTCATTCACATTGATAGATCTTTTTATTTATTTAATTTTTTCGTTAATCCTCACCCGAGAATATTTTTCCATTGATTTTTAGGGAGAGTGGAAGAGAGGGAAAGAGAGAGAAACATCGATGTGAGAGAAGCACATTGATTTGTTGCCTCCTGCAGGAGCCCCGACCAGGGCCTAGCAGGGAAGGAGCCTGCAACCAAGGTATGTACCCTTGACTGGAATCGAACCTGGGACCCTGTGGTCCACAGACTGATGCTCTATCCACTGTGCCAAACCGGCTAGGGCACACTGGTAGATTGTTGACCCTCCTAGTTTATTGCAGTTACTACTGCTGCATAATAAATTGACCCAACGTTAGCATCTTGAAACAACTGTTTTATTATGTTCACAGATTCTGTGGATCAGGGATGGTTAATCTCTCCTCCTTGAGATCTCAGGTCTCGTCCCTTGGGCTGGGCTGGTCAAGATCAGGTTGGCTGACAGAAGCTCTTGCACTTGGCTTCTTTATGTGGCTTGGCTTCTGAACAGCTACTGATCTCAGGCTAGTTAGACTTTCCGTGGCAGCTCCGGGCTCCAAGCTAGAGTGTTCCAGTGCATAAGCCGATGCTGCCTTTCCTTTTATACCCAACCTTACTATTTGGTCCACCGCCATCTATTAGCTGAAGGAGTCTGCCCATAGTCCGAAACATGCCCACAGGAACCCCCTCTCCCTCATCTCCCCATGAGAGGAGTGTTGAGAGACTTGGGGCCATGTTCCAAACATCCCGCTTACTCTATATCCAATTCTCTCACACTCATAATCAACGTGAAAAGATTTCCCCTTTAGATATTTTCTCAAAGTGAATACAACATATTCATAAAAAGCTTTACATGGGGCCATGGCTACTGAAACCATGTGATGATTTTTCTTTCTCAAGGGAAGCAGATGGAATGACCAGCGTGTGCCTACTGTTTTGAAACATGGCTTGCCAGTATCTGTGTGTCCTTTCCCAGAAATGAGCCCTATTTCTGCAGTGAGGGAGAACATGAAGTCATCCCTCATTGAATAGATCAACTCGTTTATTTAGAGACCATGCTTGCTTGCTTACTTTTGCTGTTTGTTCTTTGAATATACCTACATGTCTTTGCAAATAGACTGAGCAGAAGCTTGTCTGTTAGTACCTCCATCAAAGTAGTGAAAACATGCCCCTGGACCTGGATTAGGGTGAAGCAATTGAGACACTAGCTGCAGCTGCAAAATTTAAGGGGGCGTCAAAACACTCAGTAATCAAGACAAGTGTTTTAATGCAATATTAAAAATAATAATTAATGCCAAGCAGTACATAATAAAATATCAGAATTTTTAAATAGTCAGTGATTTGTTTGCTGTAACAAAGTGCCATAAACCTGGTGTCTAAAAACAACAGAAATATCTTGTCTCCCAGTTTTGGAGGCCAGAGAAACCTTATGCCTCTCTGCTTGCTTCTGGTGACTGCTGCCATCTTTGATGTTCCTTGCCTCAAAGCTGCATCATTCCAATCACTGCCTCCATCTTCACATGGCCTTCTTCCTTGTGTTTCTCTGTGTCTCGCCTCTTATAAGGACACCAGTTGTTGAATTGAGGGCCACCCTAATCCAGTATGATTTCAACTTTTTTTTAAAATATATTTTTATTGATTTTTTTACAGAGAGGAAGGGAGAGGGATAGAGAGTTAGAAACATCGATGAGAAAGAAGCATCGATCAGCTGCCTCCTGCACATTCCCTACTGGGTATGTGCCCGCAACCAAGGTACATGCCCTTGACTGGAATCGAACCCAGGACCCTTGAGTCCGCAGGCTGACGCTCTATCCACTGAGCCAAACCAGTTAGGGCTCAACTTTTAATTGCATCTGCAAAACCCTATTTCCCTACAAAGTCACATTCTGAGGCTCTGGGTGGAATTTTTGAGAGATACCAATTTAACACTACAGACTGCATCAGTATTACGTCGTTTGCCTCAGGATCCACTATAGCTCAGCATGGCATCCCCCATTTCAGTAGCTACTAGCATGGGCTGGCCACTGCCAGGTGAGCTGCTATTGCATCAGCTCTGGGGCCCAAGACTGAGGAGGCTCCTCTGTGCATTCTTCCTGAGAAGTTTCACCCACTCACCTGCTTCAGCTTCCACATACCTACTTGACAACTCAACTCCAAAATCGCTCTTTCAAGCCTCACTGCTCCCCTGAGTTCTAGACTCCTTTTTGCAGTGGCTTCTGGACATTCCAACTAGTTAGTCTGAAGGCATCTCAAATTTTACTTGTATGTAACTGAGGTATTCATGTCTTCTTATCTTCTTTTGCTGTGTCCTTTATTGGTGGGCTCATCACTGCACCCCCAACAAGAACTTGAGAGGTGTCTCACTGCTAGTCTCTCCCTCTCCCCCATCGTTTCCTTTGGTCCCACCTCAGAGATGATTCTGGATCACCATCCCCTGCCAGAGCTCACAGGTCTTTATCAGCAGGTTTGTAGATATCCCTATAGACTATTATGTTCAACATGACATGCTTTGAAAATAAAGTTGTGATTTTGTTACAGGTTGAGATATCAAGCATACTTGGGCTCAGAAATCCCAATGATTATAGATAATTTTGTAATTGTCCGCCCAACTTGGACATTATGTTTTGATGTTTGGTATTGCTAAACTTGTTTGTCCTAAGCAAATTCCTTCTCTTCTCTCTCATCTCTAAATGCTCCCTTCCTTCACCTCCCTACTATCACAGAAACCCTGCTCTGCAGGAGGACACTGTTCCCTGCAGGTCTCCCTAGTGTGGCTGGTCAAAGGCCTTCTGCTGCCCCTGGGCCTGGAGGAGGATGGGTGGGGGTTAGGGGTTGCAGGGAGTGGATGTTTTCTCCTTTTGGCCACTTCCAGACCACTTCTCCCCTCCTCTGTTCTCCTCCTCCCATGCTTAGTCTTAGGTCATCAGACAATACCTTATTCTACATCTCTTATAATGCAGTCATTATGGACCCCTGGGTTCTTCCCCCTCATATTTTGAAGATTTTTATCTGAGGGCTCACTGCCATTCTCTGAAGCAACTCCTTATTTCAACATGCAAGTGGATGATCTTCCCAATAGACAGGTCTCATGGTTCCTTGACCTGTCCTCCAAAATTCATGACCTTTCCCTTCACAGCTGCTCAGCTCCCATGGACCTGCCCTAGACTTTGTCATACCACATCCTAGCCATAATCTCAGTCTCACTCTATGTCTCCAATCTTTGCAGGTAACTCCTTCTCATAGTCCTTTTGACCCCACGTCATTTCTCAATATTCCCTTTACCTAGCTTGAATGCCATGATCAGTCATTATAATTACTCCCTTGCATAACTCTCAGCTCCCAACTTAAACCCACTCAGCATACCATAGCTGCAGAAAAACATTCCAGCATGCCAACTGGGATTACTCTAAATGCATGACCTCAACCCACTGTGGGCCTTTTCTTCTGTCTGTCAACTACACATTTCCCTGGAACATTCACCCTCTCTAGATAACTCTTCTGGATAACATGTGCACTCTTCTAGATAACTTGTTTACATACCTTCTCTTATTTCTTCTAACCTATACCTTTCTCATCCTCGTTCTTTTGGTTTTCTTAAAAAAACAGAAGCAATCCAAATAGAATGTCCCTTGCTTTCACCACCATGGCCCCATTCCATCCACATCTGGGCCAAATACTGAGCCTTTCCTCCCATTCCTGTGCATGGACTGTCCACATTCCCAGATAAGTGAGGTAATTTTGCTGTGCCCAAGATCAATTACCAATAGTTAGAAACACTAGACCCAAAATGGAGTCACTTTTGCTAAGCTCCCCCAAAGTTTCAGCCTCTTCCAGAAGTGGAATTTTAAAACAATCAGTCTAGAATTTCCTGCTCAATACTAGTGAAGTAATCTGCCTTATAAACCCCCTTGCTTCCCCTAAGGAAAGATGGCATTGCCTGAATAATCCACCCTTTTAACTGTCTTGTCTCACCATCTTTCTGCCTATAAAAACCTTCCATTTTGTACAACCCCTCGACCCTCAGAGGTCCCCTACACTTGCTGAGTGAGATGCTGCTGATTCATGAGTTGCTTAACAAAGTTAATTAGATCTTCAAATTTGCTTGCTTGAATTTTGTTCTTTAACACAATCAGTTAATACAATCAACTAGAGGCCTGATGCACAAAATTCATGCAAGAGTAGGCCTTCCTTCCCCTGACTGCTGGCACCGGCTTCCCTCTGACACCCAGGACCCGGGCTTCCCTCTGGCCTCCGGCAGGCACCTGGGACCTGGACTTCCCTCACAGCCCCGGCTTCGTCTGGAAGGTTGTCCGATCTAATTAGCACATTACACTTTTATTATTATCAATGAACTAGAGGCCCGGTGCATGAATTCGTGCATGGGTGGGGTCCCTCTAGGTGGCCTGCAGGAATCGGGCCAAAACCCACAGTCCAATGCTGCTTTCAGCTCCTACCTGCCACTCCGCTCATCCTGGCCCCACTGTGCCTGCCCTGGGCTTGCGCCCAATCAGTCCTGATTGGAAGAGGCTTGTGCTGCTACAGCAGCGCTCTCCAGCCATGAGCCCTGCATCTGGTGCCCTCCCAAGGGGAGTGGCCTGTGGGATTGAGCTGAAACTGGCTCTCTGACATCCCCCAAGGGGTCCCAAATTGCGAGAGGGTGCAGGCCAGGCCGAGGGACCCCACCAGTGCACAATCAGGCCGGGGAGCGACGCAAGAGGGCTCCAGGGCATGTCCGGCCCATCTCAGTCCCGATCGGCCGGACCCCAGCAGCAATCTAACCTTCCGGTTGGAGCATCTGTCCCCTGGTGGTCAATGCATGTCATAGCGACTGGTCGGCCAGTCAACTGTCTGCCCCCTGGTGGTCAGTGCACATCATAGTGAGTGGTTGAGCAGCCTTAGCATATCATTAGCATATTACGCTTTGATTGGTTGTTCTGCCATTTGGTCTATTTGCATATTACCCTTTTATTATATAGGATTATTTTTCATCAATACACAACGTGTTCTTTGTCTAATTAAAAAAACAAATAAGCCCTGACTTGGTAGCTCAGTTGGTTAGAGTGTTATCCCATCACGCCGAAGTGTGGGTTTGATCCCTGGTCAGGGCACATACAAGA